ATAATTTGAGGAATTTCTACATCTGCAGACCTCTGAGAGCCTTGGAAGTGCTTTTGAAGTATTTAAATCTTTATTTATAGTCCTTTCAAAACAAAGTCAACATTATTAACATGAAAAAACAATGTTTTGATTAGTATGTGTATTATAAAACATTGTTGTTGAGATATAGTTTGAAGAATTTCTACAATCCATAGACTTCTAAAAGCTTTGGAAGTGTCTTCAAAGTTTTGAACCATTTCATATAGTCCTTACAAAACAATGTCAACATTATTGACTCAAAAGAAATGCTTTGATTAGAATGTGTATTATATAACATTGTATGTTGAATATAATTTGAGGAATTTTTATAATCTGCAGACTTCTGAAAGCCTTGGAAGTGTCATTGAAGTATTTAAATTGTTTCATATAGTCTTTACAAAATAATGTCAAAATTGTTCGCATAACAATGCTTCGTCAGAATGAGTATTAAAAACATTGTATGTTAAGATATAATTTTGAGAAATTCACAGACTTCTGAAAATTTTGGAAGTGTCTTCACAGTATTTAAATCGTTTCATATAGTCTTTGCAAAACAAAGTCAACATTATTGACATGAAAACAATGCTTTGATTAGTATGTGTATTATAAAAGTCTTCTTAAAGTCTTGAAGTGTCTTCATATAGTCCCATACCAGATAAAGTCAACATGATTGACATGAAAACAACACTTCCATTAGAATGTATATAACACAACATTGTATGTACAGATACAATTAGAGGTTTTTCTACAAACTGCAGACTTCTGAAAGTCTTGGAAGAATCTTCAAAGTATTTAAATCATTTCATATAGTCTTTATAGAACAAAGTCAACTTTATTGACTCGAAAGAAATGCTTCCATTAAAATACACATCACAAACCTTTAAAGTTCAGACACAACTTTGGGTTTTCTTCATTGTGCAGACTTTTAAGAGACATTATTGACACTAAAGAAAAGCTTTGATTACAATGTATATTACAAACATTGTCTATTAAACTATAATTTGATGAGGTTTTCTTTCCCGTGCAGACTTCTGAAACAGTTTAATTCGATTCCAAAATGATTCCATAAATAATAACTGAAACTTACATGAGATGGAAGTGTCTATGAACAAAAATTTGGATAAAACTCGTTGACATAAAGCAAATGCTACATTTAGTTAAAATTTGGGGGTTGTTTTCTATATGGTGATGATAGACTTATAGACAATTAGGGGTTTTCTTCTTTGTGCAGACTTTTAATAGTCTTAGAGAAATATCTTCAAAATATTGAAATGATGCAATACATAAAATATCATTATTGACACATTAGAAATGCCTCAATTAGAATGTATATTACAAACTTTGTTCGTTCAACTTTAATTGGATGATGTTTTCTTTATTTGCAGACTTCTGAAACAGTTTTTATTTTAAAATAATTCTATAGGTTATAATTGAAGACTTACATGAGTTCTTTAAACAAAAATTTTGATGAAACTTGTTGACATGAAGGATATGCTTCGTTTAGTGAAAATTTTATAGAGTTTTATAGAGTTATTTTCTATATGATGATGATAGACTTGTAGACAATTTGGGGGTTTCATCATTGTGCAAACTTTCAAGAGACTTGGAAGTATCTTTACAACATTAAAATGGAGTAATACATAAAATATCATTATTGACACATGAGAAATGTCTCGATTATTGACATAAAGGAAATGCTTGGTTCAGGTAAATTTGGGTTTTGATTGTGTTCAAAGACTTCTGAAGCACTAAAGCACCGCTGATATTAGAAGCACTAAAGCTCTAGTTAGTAATTCATATCACTTGTTTTGATTTGTGAAGACATTTTGAGGTTATGTGCGGTCTTTTACAATTAAACCACCTACTAAACACAGAGAACATAAAAATAATAATATACACATAATAGTGATAACTACAAAGCAACTATTATAAATTTAAACAATTCTATTACTTTTTTACCTATCACGTAAAATGGTTTGTATTTCTTTAACCTGATCATTGCTTGGCAGTAATTTAAGTTTTCATTGAACTCTTCACAAGAAAAATTATTTATTACATCCACTCCAGTGCCCATTTTGCAATTTATTTATTTATTTACTTCTTTGTTTGTTTATTTATTTAAATATATTAAAAACACATGACACCTATTTGACATTAATAATTATTTTCAAATGCGTGAAATTTGACACTAATGAAAACAGTGTTGCCATCTTTTGGTAGAAAAATAAAATACAAATTTTGAATATTAATTGCTTTAATGCATGGCTTCTTAAACTGTGGGTCGCGAGAAATTTTAATGTCAAGTATATATATATCATTTAATTAATAACATCACGTCTTGGTTTTTGTATGTTTTACAACAAATTCTTAAACTACATATTTTCTTATGTAGATATGTATATTTTTACCTAATAATTAAATCATCTAAAAATATTGATTTCTCTTTTATATTTGTGTGGGGTCATCAAAAAACTCGCAATGGGATCGCGAATGACAAAAGTTTGAGAAACCTTGCTTAGATGCATTAATATTATTAATTTAATTGCTTTTCTATTTTAATTAGTTAAAAGTGCTGCTAAAATATATGACATTAATAAAAATTTGAGAAATTTTATTCTAGTAGTGGTACAGAAAAACAAATTAGAGAATGACAGTTTTTAACTTCCTAAACGAGAAGTTTCTTTTCGCAAAAAATCTCGCGCATCTTTCTTTTCGCAAAATTGACGTTCCAAGTCATTCTGAATCGAATTTGACCAAATTTCGAAAAATATATATGTGTGTATATGTGTGTGTGAACCGTTTTTGGACTTTTCCGTTTTCTCAAAAACTGCTGAATCGATTTCAAAAATTTAAAAGCCATTCCATTGTCATATTATATTGTCTAGGAGCCATTCGATGTATTTCGATGAGGATTAGCATTTATTTGTTTGCGCAAAGATCGGCCGAGCCATTTCTTTGCAATTAGCAAAAAAAAAGTGTAAAATTATCTGTCCACGTTTTTGCCCACAATTCTAAATAGATTTTAAAAATTCAAAAACCGTTCGAAAGATATTTGTTGAGAATTATGTTGATTAGTTTTTGGTTTTTTTATCTATAGTTTTTGGTAAAGGTCGGCCGGACAGTTTCTTCGTAAATAAATTTTGAAAAAAAAATTTTGACGATTTTGTTGAAACTTTACATAAGAATAGATTTTGCAGTCTGAAGGAACATATTAAAATATTATAAGGCCTACGATAAGTGGTTGAATTATACAAATTCAATAAAGTTTATAACAGAGATAAAAGGTCAGTATAATGGTTTAGTAAGCATATGTACGTTCTTTGATGTTTTGTTCATGTTTTTTGACAGCTACCGGTTACAGTTGATATCCACACTTAAATAAAATACATTTTTAGATCCCAAAATGAACCAAATGAAATGAAATGAAATGTTTTAAACATACGAACATACGTATACAATTGCAGGCACTGAAATGTTTGACAAAAATTTTTTAGATCCCAAAATGAACCAAATGAAATGAAATGTTTTAAACATACGAACATACGTATACAATTGCAGGCACTGAAATGTTTGACAAAAATCAAACGAAAAAGCATAGTTTTATGAAAGCATAATTTTATTTTTGATTAGTGAAAAGCATAATTTTATTTTTGAAATAAAAATTTTAACATTTAACGTGAATAGCTAAATTTCAATTTTTATGGAATAATTTGATTAGGTATAATCATAATGATATTGTATGTTAAGTATCAGGAAGTTCATGCAACTACCCTCTTTAAAGCAAAATGCTACTCACAACCATTTTACTGCTTTACAACAATTTGATACGGAGTATCCGATTTGAATGATTCAAAAAACATTCCACTTGTATTGGCGTTATGAAGAATTGATTAAGTCTTTACAAAGACAGGTCGAGTTGTTTCGGAGATCCACAATAAAAAGTTTAAAAAATGCCAGTTGGAAATTGAAAATCAGATATTTAGTATTGAAATCTATCATTATGAAAGGCTATCAAATTCCTTCAAAAGATTTCAAAATTAAGAAAAAATTCAAAATATAGTCTTCGAAAATGTATTCTTTTCAATATTTAAAATTTTCAAATGGACCTACCTTTTGCTTAAAGAAAATTAAATTATGCTACGGAAAGTGTCAGCAATTTGTTTCAGAGCACGATGCCATACACCACTAGTTATTAAATGTTTTGTTAATTAAAAACCATTTGTTTAACATAATTAAAATATTTGGTTAATCTATACAATATTTAATAATACACAAAAATACTTATTATGCGTTGCATATGTGAACTAAAGTTAGTACTTTGATCTGAATGTTATAACAATTTGTTATATTAATCGATAAAAGTTTATCAAAATTTGAATTTAAAATTGGCGCTTTTTGCGGCGCTACTGGTCCTTGAATGACAACTCTGAAGTTGCACATTTTTATATACATCCATGGCCGACCTGTCAGAACTTGTTGCAAGCATTTTGATTTTTGAGATTTAATTGGAAACACATAGGAAAAAGAAAGACCACTTAAAGAAGTGAGTACTTGAGAAATATTGTAGTTAATTGTGCAAGAAATATTTTGCATTCGGTGACTCCTAAAGTGACGGTTTGTGCAAGTGAAAACTTAGTTCTGACATAGTGTAAAAGTGTAAAATTCTTGTTTGAAAATGGAAAAATGGAGCCCTTCAGCAGTTACGAGCGACTAATCTAATGATATTTGAAAGGTATGATAACAGGCATTTAGTGTACACTTTTTATTATATTGCTGGTGGACTGTCATTGTCGATTTCTATAAATTTTTGACGTCTTTATTAACAATGAGTTTAATCCGCCATTAATATTACAATTGTAGTAGTTCACTTTTGATGTCTCGATTGAGCAATAATTCATTATCATTTGAAATATTTGTACGAAATCAAATAATTCATATGTCGATTACAGATTTTAGTACATAAGCTTTGTATTAATATTTTCTTAATCCAGGTTGTCGGTGATCCACAATTGAGGATAGCAGCCCTTAAGAGGTAATATCTGCGGAGGGATCAGAGAGACCTCTCTAGAAAGGGCGGATTTCATTTCACGGCTTTGAGACTTAAAGGTATTAAACTTCTTTAAATATAAAGATATATACTTTATTCAAATTCAATATTTACAATTTAAGTCAATACAATTATTATTTTCATCAGAATATTTTATAACAAAAATATTAATTATATTTATGAACAACTCTAGGATTAACTGAACGACAACTAATAATTTAGTAATTTACTTATCTATTAGAAGACACTGGCAGCTCAAGGCAAATAATAATGTCAACACAACAGTATGTCAAAACAAATTTACTGTACATATTTATTCTATTGCTGGTGGGTTTCCATGTCCATGATTTTTAATGTTTTTATTAACAATGAGTTTTATCGGCTCATGCTGATTTTTGTTGGTCAATACATTTACTATTATTATTACAATTGTAGTAGTTCACTTTTGATGTATCAGGTTCAGATGCGAGTGAGGAAAACTTACTTGGGCTGGAAGCCCCTAAATATTCATCTCATTGACAACTATATATATATATATATATATATATTATATATATATATATATATATACTAGATGACCCGACAGACGTTATCCTGTACCAAATTTTTAATATCTTATCCTATACTTTTTAATATCCTATTTAATGTCCTGCCTTTGTGATTCATTCATGGTCTTAGCATAACTAGTATAAGAAATTCAGAAAACAATAATATAGTATCTGCGGTAAAAGAACAATATCACACTTGATTTTACCACACAACATATTGCTTCAACAATTTAGTCTACAATTTTCATAATCCCGTACGATATATTAGTTGCATTTTGGCAATTATAATTTCTAAAGTACATTTTTCTTACTAATAATTTAATAAACATTATTGTTTATTTTCAAATCTTAGGTTAATTAACCTTTGTAAAATCTAGTTCATATATGCTCTATTCAATCTAAGATCAACTTGCTAAATATTCCATATCCAATGCCAAACAAATGAATTTTCGACACATGAAACAAAATTCTAAATCATTTTTTAATAAGTAGAAATATTTTTTGTATTGTTAAATAATTTAGTAAACAAAATGCGACACACAAGTTTAAAAAAAAAATGTATATGCAATTTTGGACTTACTGCTTTATTTATTAAACTGCATTATATAATTTCATCTGCCAAATACATACTGTTGACTTTATTTTCTTATATTATTTTAATTTCTGGCACGTCTCAGCTGCTTTTCGGCAATAATAATGTAGACATTACATTTTTCTTGTATATTACATTCTAATATTATATAATGTCAGCTAAATTCAAATTTCATGTGAATTGAAATTTCTAGCAGATGACTGTTCAAATGTTTTCAATGTTAAACTAATACCTGTATTTTTGTAACTTTTGCCATTTAATTCTACAATATAACTATAGTTCCATTATTCATTAAATCTTAAATTTCCTTTCACAAACTCTAAAAAGAATTATCAAAATCTGAATAACCGCATAGAAGTATCAAATCATACACCCGTACAGAAGAATTTTATATATAAAATATATATATATATATATATATATATATATATATATATATAAGAGTAACTAGCAGCCCATGGTCAAAATAAAAAATGTAAAAAGTATTTAAAACTTTTTATTTATATGTTTCAACACCAGATGTGTCATTATTGAGAAACACCAGGACAAAACACAAAAAAAATTTAGAAAATTAACATTGTATCAACATTCGAGGACAATTTTTTGGAAAATAATGATGAATAACCACAAAATTAAAACCATTTTGAGAAAAGTTTTGAACTCTAACACATTATGACTCATGAAACACGCTCATTTCAAGCAAACTACTCGACTGTTATGTCTGATATATATATATATATATATATATATATATATATATATATATAAAGCGAGAGGTTTTTCTTCAGATGGTGAAATAATATAATGAAATTGTTTCTTGGGCATCCATCCAGTAATTAAAAAAACAGTTTTAATGAAAAATGTTTTTATTTTAAGAACATACGTTTCGGGTCCTGATTTGACCCATCTTCAGTGCATACAAATAAATTTTGAAAAACAACACAAAGACACAAAATTGCATGAAAAAATAAATAAATGTGAAATAAAAAATTGATGAAACGTCTAGTTATAAAAAATTTAAAAATATGTAAAATTGAAATAAATGATATATTTTATTATAAAAAAGCTTATTCCAAACGAACATGTTGTTAGTTTGGAAATTGTATTACGAGTGATATATATATATATATATATATATATATATATACAAAATTAAATGAACATATGAAACTTGTTTGCTAAAAAAAATGTTTCAAATTTTATTCATCAAATCTTTGCATATACAGTAATGTATCATTGAATATATATATATATATACTATTATATATTCATGATTATTTATACATTTTAAGACTAACACGTTTATTGTTTTAAAACTACATGTATAGTGAATGTAATTTGTATCATTACGTTTGTGTGTAAAAATTAATATATTCAACCATTTGAATTTTTAACTCTGTCTCACCCCTTTGCGTGAATTCCTGATCGCACCTTTCATATTTTTAGAACCTGCTCTGCTATGAGTAAGCTTGTGTCCTTTCAAATTACTTGATTGTTTGAAAGCTTTATTGCAGATATCGCATTTATAAGGGCGTTCTCCTGTATGAATGAGCCTGTGCATTTGTAGACTACCTGCTTGCGTGAAAGCCTTATTGCATGTCTCACATTTATAGGGCTTTTCTCCTGTATGAGTTCGCATATGTACTCTTAAATTAGTTGCTGTACGAAATGCTGCGTTACATGTTCCGCATTCGAAAGGTTGTTCACCTGTATGAATAAGCATATGCTGATTCAAATCACACTGTCGTGAAAATGTTTTATTGCATATTAAGCATTTGAAATTACGCTCTCCTGTATGAATGACCATATGCTGCTTTAAAATACCCGGTTGTCTGAATGCTTTGCTACATATTTGGCATTTGTAAGGACGTTCTCCAGAATGACTGTGCATGTGGGACTTCATATTACCCAATTGTGCAAATGCCTTATCACAAAATTCGCACTTGTAAGGACGTTCTCCGGTGTGAATACGCATGTGCCTTTTCAAATCACTCAAAGCAGTGAATGGCCTTGCACATATGACACATTTGTGAGGATGCTCTTTAGTATGAATAACCATATGCCGCTTTAAATTATTGGATTGACTGAAGTCTTTGTTACATATTTTGCATTTGTAAGGGCGTTCTCCAGTATGCATACGCATGTGTGACTTGTAGCTGGTAGTTTGTATAAATGTCTTGTTGCATATTTCGCATTTATATAGATGTTCTCCTGTATGAATACGCATATGTACTTTCAAGTTACTCGAATTTGCTAATGTCTTGTCACATACTAAGCATGTCTGATTTACAGTAGGAGTATTTTTATTTACCTTATCAGACTGTTCACAAACATGCTGATCTAACAGATAAATTGTATCAAATACTTTGTCGCATATTGTACATAAAAAAGGTATTTCGTCGTCAAATTCATAAGCAGGTGTCTCAATTAACACCGTTTGGTCTTCTTCTTCTATAGTTACCTCAGTCTTCATGAATCTTTCGAGACACGTTTCTCCGTCCTCTGAGAACGATTCAGACTTAACAATATCTTCAAGAACCTCATATTCATCTTCAATTTCACATTTAACGGCTTCTATTGAAAATTCTAGAGGTTCCAATTTAATTTTCTGATCTTCAAAAGACCTGATTGTTTCTCCTGACATTTTAAATATTTTCACTGCGTATGTTAAATAAGTATTCACGAAAACAGTCGTGCACTATTTAACCATCTATTTTAAAATAGTTAATTTAACTAAATTTGCATTTGTTATTAAAAATGAAGAGGTTAGCTTCGCCTGGCTTGTCACTTGGCTGCATTTGATTTTGATTTAGTTGGTAATTGAAGCATAGAGCATGTTTTCGAAAAGATAAGATGTTTTTTTCAAATTGCATGTTCACTATTAGACCAAGAGCCCGTGGGCGGATGACAGTATGTATTTTACGACACCTAAGATTTTGTGCATCGATTCCTCTATACCTATCCTACATGAAATGGGGACTGACTAAGCCCAAAGTGGCGGACACAGCTACTGCGCAGCTGGTAAAGGTACCTTTTTTTCGACCATTTCCGAACCATTTTACGACGGTTGCCGTTTTGAAAATTTGAAAATATAATATTATTACTATCGTAAAATACCAATGGCAGACGATTATCGCGCGGTTAACATGGTGGCAGACGATTTTGAAAATGCAGAAAAAAAATTTTTTTGAATGTATTTTACGATGTCTGCCATTACATATTTTATTCCTTATAGTATCAAAACCTTATATTTATCACGGCAGACGTGTACCTGGTGGACCAACATCAGCAGAGTTAAAAAACTCAGCTACCATTTGGCGTGATATTATGCATAAATCTCCATGTTTTATACCGATATAAGCAATTCTTTCATAATGATAATACAAATTATTATTGTTAGTTTATATGTGACATTTAATAATGTTGATGAGCGGAAAAAAGATTTTTTACGCTAAATTCGTAAAGATTAAAGTATACAAACGATAACAACAATTATTGTAATATTTATTCTATTTTTTTATTTATTTTAGTCTAATTTCAAAATATTGTATAAAAATAAAGTTATACAATATTATATATATATATATATATATATATATATATATATATACTTTCTTTATTTATTATAATCTCGGAGCCATATCTTGCTTTTGATGATTCCTCATCATCCGCTGAATCAGATTCTATAAAATAATAAATCAGATGTAAATAAAAATTATTTGAAAATCCAACTGAAGATGTTTGATAAAGACGAGATTCTCCGACCTACTTTAATGCCCCAACAATGTTGGTTGCTTGTTATAGATATTATTCCTATATAGTTATAGTGGGCTCTTAAAAATTGTTGATAAAACACGAGATTGAAATTGCACCAAAATTTAGAATTTTTCTGCTGAATTGTTCATTGACATTGTAAACTTTATAGTTATTAATGAATAGTTTGTACCGTCCAAGAACCACGTCATTTATGTCTTTTGCATTATATATTTGGCAAAATCTTAGGTTGTTTCCTGTTAAATTTCTTTTTTGCTAAACCGAGTGTAGCAAACCCTTGTTGAAGATCGATATTTTTTATTTAAATTTTGTTAATTTATTTGAATTTCTGAGACTGTCAATTATACAATGATAATCAAAATGTCCAATCGTGTGTTGTTGAAGATTTTTATCGAAGAGCCTTCGATACTGCAAATATCAGTATAATATTGGTAATATGAATTGGTAATATGACATAATAAGAAATATAGTAATTCAATATTTGGATGCTAAATGGGGTTGAAAATAACAGAGATATATTAACATCACGAAGTGAACTGGTTAGTTGTTTGCCAGAATTTCAATTTGTTGTCATGCTTTTACTGGTTGTGATTTCAATCCAGCCTTCTTTAACAAAAAAAAGACCTTACAATTCTCTGAAGAAAATCGATCTTCACAAATGTTTGCTACATTAACAAAGAACCCACATAACATATCTTTTTAATACTATTCAGCTTAATTTTTAAGTATGGTCGAGAATCTCGTCTTTATCAAACATCTTCAGTTGGATTTTCAAATAATTTTTATTTTACATCTGATTTATTATTATAGAATCTGATTCAGCGGATGATGAGAATCATCAAAAGCGAGATATGGCTCCGAGATTATAATAAATAAAGAAAGTATATATATATATATATATATATTATATATATATATAATATTGTATAACTTTATTTTTATACAATATTTTGAAATTAGACTAAAATGAATAAAAAAATAGAATAAATATTACAATAATTGTTGTTATCGTTTGTATACTTTAATCTTTACGAATTTAGCGTAAAAAATCTTTTTTCCGCTCATCAACATTATTAAATGTCACATATAAACTAACAAATATTAATTTGTATTATCATTATGAAAGAATTGCTTATATCGGTATAAAACATGGAGATTTATGCATAATATCACGCCAAATGGTAGCTGAGTTTTTTAACTCTGCTGATGTTGGTCCACCAGGTACACGTCTGCCGTGATAAATATAAGGTTTTGATACTATAAGGAATAAAATATGTAAATGGCAGACATCGTAAAATACATTCAAAAAAATTCTTTTTCTGCATTTTCAAAATCGTCTGCCACCATGTTAACCGCGCGATAATCGTCTGCCATTGGTATTTTACGATAGTAATAATATTATATTTTCAAATTTTCGTAACGGCAGCCGTCGTAAAATGGTTCGGAAAAAAGGTACCTTTACCAGCTGCGCAGTAGCTGTGTCCGCCACTTTGGGCTTAGTCAGTCCCCATTTCATGTAGGATAGGTATAGAGGAATCGATGCACAAAATGTCAGGTGTCGTAAAATACATACTGTCATCCGCCCACGGGCTCTTGGTCTATATTCTCTATGGTCCAACTGTCAACACAAAACGTTAAAATTTTAAACTAAATAATTTAACTGGTGGTGTATAGCATCGTACCTTAAGGCAAATTGCTGGAACTTTCCGTACCGTAACGAAATGTTCGAGGAATATTAAATGTTTTCAAATAGATTATTATAAATACTACAACATTGTCTAATATTTATAAAAAATATATAAACTGAATTGCAAAGCTGAAATTATTTGTTTGAAGTATATTAGAATTTTAGTCAGAATTAAAATTAAAATCTGAATTATTTTCGATATACAAAAAAACTAGTTGGTTTGGTATTTAGCCTTGAAGCAAGTTACATGAACTTCCCGATATGTGTAAATAATCGACTTAATCAATAAAAAATAAATTTATTTATGAGTAATTATAAGTATTCCGAGTGGATTTATTACACATCATTGCGAACGAACGAACGAACACGTTAACTAAGAGTATTTTCTAAAAGCAAATTTTCAAAGATCTATAATTTTAATTAATCAATAATTATAATTGAACCAGTTTCTTTGATGAATTTTAGAAATTAAACTACTTGTCGTAAGGCCGTAATAATTCAGTAAGTTCTATAAGACCATGATATATATCGCCAAAAAAAGTTCCATAAAAATCAGCCTAAATTTTTTTTTCAACAGTTAATTACAAGAAAACGGCTCGGTAGATTTTCACCTAAAACTATTCAGTATGATTCCCAACTAATATCATTCGGACAGTTTTTGATTTTTTAAAATCGGTTCGGTAGTATGAGCTTAAATGTGGACGAAAGGTTTAACGCTTTTTTCTAAATTACAAAGAAACGGCTCGGCTGATCGTCGCATAAAACTGAGAAACGATAATCCTCATCGAGATATACATCAAATGATCTGAAATCGGTTCAGGCGCTTTTGAGCAAACGTCGATGAAAGTTTTAATTTTAACAAATGCCAAAAAGACCATACTAATTTTTGCAAACTTTGACGAATTTTTAAAGCTAAACCAGTTGTCGTAGGGCCGTAATATTTTAGTATGATCTAGAAGACTATGGTATCTACCGCCAAAAAAATAATCATAAAAATCATCGAATTTTTTTTTTAAACTTTATTACAAGAAAACGGCCCAGCCGATCTCTACCAAGAACTAATCAACACGATTTCCAACCAATAAATTTCACTTTTCTGCGATTTATAAAGAAACGGTTTGACCGATCGTCGCACAAAATTGACAAACAATAGTCCTCATCGAGATACATCGAGTGGCTTTTAAATTTTTGAAATCGGTCCAGCCGTTTTCGAGAAAACGTCGATTTACGGCAAAAAATCTGTTCACATACACGCACACACACACACAAATACTTTTTCCAAATTTGGTCTCATTCGATTCAGAATGGCTTGAAACGTCGAGAAAACATAAAATTGGCAATTCAGATTTTTTATGAAAACATAAACTTCTCCTTCGGGAAGTTAAAAATGGAAATGAAAATGTTTTTATTCCAAAAGCAATTGTTTTGTCAACGCAAGCAGAAAGTTTTTTTTAATCATTCGATTCGGATGCTTATTTCTCTCAAATCTGCCATTTTTTGTATACTTAGCTCTGTATCTTCGAAATGGCTGCGCCTATCTTTGCCAAAAACTGATAAACACTTCTCCCAATCATTACTAATTGAATGTTTTATAGATCATTCAAATCGGATGCTTCGTTCTCTCAAAAACTCGATTCCTGTGTTTGCACTCTTTGCTCTTTATCTCCGTAACGGCTGGACCTGCCTTTGCGAAAAACTAATCAGCACATCTCTCTATCAATAAAAATCGAATGTTTTTTGAACCATTCAAATCGGTTGATCCGTGCGCCAGAAAACGTGAACAAAAAATGCGGACACACAAAACACACACACACACACATTCATTTTTTTCTGAGGTATGCCAAAATGTTCAGAAACCTTCAAAACGTCGAGAAATGCAAAAATTTTCATATTCGATAGTTGAAAGTGGCATTTAGCCTTAAGGTAAGTTGCATGAACTTTCCAAAATGTGTAATAATTGACTTAATCCACCGAATTGAATTTAGATATTTAGATAATACTTTCACCTATTTATTTGAAATCTCTGACATATTTATAATATCTGTAATTATATTTTATAGTGCACAGACATTAGTGCTTGTATGTCCTAAAATTAGTTGTTCGTTATCATAAATTTCAATGAATTGATAATTTTGACTATAATATTTTTTTAAACTTTGATGAATATTTAAAATTAAACTACTTGCCG